ATTTATCTTTTTTCAATTTTTATAAACAAATCGATTAAACATGCATGTTAGTAATATTTTCTTTTAGATATTATGAGATTAGAGCTAACTATACAATTTAATTTTTATTTCTTTTTAAGAATTAGTGGCCTTATTCGGGGAAACTTTGAGGAAAAAAAGAGATTTTTCACTCTAAAATTTGAGCTTGTATAAACTATCTAATAGTGTTAACTTAATATATTCATATTCCATTAACTTTATGTGTTGTTGCAAATATATAACAAAGAGAATACAAATTTTAGTTTCAATCTAGTCATCCTACTTAGCAAGAACGTTGGTGAAGATCGAAAGAACCTTCAAATTAAAAGAACTCTAATAATAATATTCATCATTTTTAAAACTTATATTTTTTTTAAAACTACTATTTAAATATATTCTTAATAATATTTATGTCACGTTCATAATTCAATACTCATTAATTGATAAAGAAGAAACACGCGACACTCATATCAAGAGATTAATAATTAGTGAAAGAGAAAGTAAAAGAACTTAAGAATCAATTATGGTGAATATGATTCAATTTGAATTAATAAAGAATACTAGTAAATAAATAAGAATGAATGGAAGGTAAAAATAATTAAAAAAAAAAACTTCACACATTAATAAAAATGACAAAAAAAAAAGCTTCCAAAAATTAATGTTGCAGACGAAGTTCGAACCTGCACTGCCCGTGGCAAATTGCCTACTTTGCCAATTGGGACTGTTCACCATATTGTTCAGTGGGTGACAAAGAAAATATATATTAAATTTCTTATATATATATATAAAGTTTTTTCCGAGATCAGTGGGTGCCGTGGCACCCCACGGGCACCCATACATAGATCCGCCCCTGGAAGACATGAGATCAATTCAAAGTATTTCTAAAAATCCTTTTCACGGTATTGTTGTTGTAATATCATATTAGAGGCATGAAAAGTAGTAAGTGCCTTTTCCAACATGTCCTCATCTTTTATAGTTTCCCCACATAATTTCAATTGGGAAGTGATTCTAAATACAACAGAGTTATACTCAATTACGGTTTTATAATCTTGAAACTGTAAGTGCATCCACTCATAACGAGCCCTTGGTAATACCGTTGCCTTGAGGTGGACATACCTCCCTTTCAAATCTATCTACAATTCAAGTGGATCTTTTACTGTCAAGTAAACGACCTTCAGGCTTTCATCAAGATGATGACGAAGGAAAAATCATAGTCTTTGCTTTATCTTGAATTGATGTTTTATTTTCTTCGATTATACTATCACTATGACCCTTAGCGGTAAGGTAAATTTCAACATCAAGTACCCATGACAAATAGTTCTTTTCAGAAATGTCAAGTGCCACAAATTCAAGCTTTGACAATTTCGACATGATGAAAATTATCATAAAATAATTGAGTTAATATCATGATGTTTGTTTGGTTATAATAAATGGAAAATTAATATTTTAAATAATAAAACATCATATGAGTATAAAATATATTAAATGCATGAACATGGAATGTTACAAAAACATGTAAGCTCATGAAGTATTGAAATGACAAATCAAGTCATATTTAATATAATAATATTTATTATTAGTTTCAATAGATATTATCGCCAAAGTTTTGTAAAAATTTCAAGTCATATTTAATACAATACTATTCTTCTTTATGATACACAAATATTTATCATAAATTTATGACAAGAATTTTTTTACGAGTATTCTAACTAGCATGTTATCATATTGCCTAGTATTTAATTTAGAGTTATAAGTTTGTAGCATATAAACAACATAAAAATATAAACCTGAAACGTATTGATTATTATGCCTAGTAAAGTATCATAATAATACCTAAAGTAAATTATGTATGCAGTACTTAAATTGTAGCTCAAAGATTTACGTAAGTCCTATTAGAGATGTTATAATCATATAAATGTATACCTGACTCGGAAAGAAAATTGATTATTAACTTTTAGGAAAAGAGATAATCTCAAATTAAGTAGATCTCAATTGGTTAGAGACTCATTTTGATAACGTGTTATAAAATGAGAGAAAAAAATACAATAATACTAAACAAGAAAGGAACACAAATGGCAATGGAAAGTATTAAGTAGAGAGTATTATTTGATCTCTTCAAGTGTGTATTTCAAAAGGGTGAAGACTACCCTTTTATAGGACATACAAACCATCCTTTTACAACTTTTGACAAATACGTTAGTAAAATATTTAATTAATACAATAAATAAATACATTATGTTGGGGATATATTAAGAGAAACATCCACAATTAAATGGATTTGTAACAATTTACTTTTACTTGTTGAGTTTTAAAAGAGAAAAGACATAAAGTCACCATTGAAATTGTTTCGAATTTTCAAAAAGACACCTTAACTTTGCAAGCGTCCTATTACCTCAAAAAAGTTTTGAATATCGTTGTAAAATGGTCGTTTTCTCATCTATGAAGACACTTGTGATTCTCACCCATTTTAATTAAATTTAAATTAATAAAAATAAGAATAATCGATCCGAATCTTAACAAAAATCCTTCCATTTGGACGTCACTCTCTCTTCCTTCCCATAAAATTCATCATCTATATCCTTCCCAATATCATTTTTCTTGCAACTAACAGTAGCAGTTGTCCTATTTTAAGTCGTAATTCTTCATCAATATAATATGCATAATTTATACAATAATATTTCTATAGTAAATCAACTTGTTTCTTTTTTTTGTTTTCCCATTTTTCTTCTCCCTTTTCTCTATTGTTGATGGCCTGCACCAGAATTTAGATAGTAAAAAAACTACTTCTATGTCAGCCTTGAGTATTTTCAAGTTGGTACACATCTTTCCACCTTAACTCTATAAACAAATTTTGAATCTATTGAACATTTTCTCAAACCCTTTTCGAGAATTGAAGTTCAGAATCCAAGATTTAAGAGATACATGACTTTGAATCATGCAGACTTATAAGCTATTAAGGAAGGGTTTAGACTATACTTGGAGAAAGAGGAATTGGGTTGTTGCTTTAGGAGATGGCGTTTATAGGGCTTATTGTTCACCCTTTATGGTTAGAAAGAACAAAAGATTTTTGAAGCTCATAAGTGTTTTTGTTTCTTTAGCTTAGATGATGTCTGATTCCTCTCATGTAATTGAGATTATTTCGGAAGATTTGAAGGAAGTAATTGAAATTTGAAACAGATTCTAAGATCGTTAAATAACATGGGACATTTAATAATTTAAGTAATTAATAGAAAAATTAACTGAAATGCGACATTTTTAATTGGTTATGGAAGCAATATGATACAGTCACGCGTGTCATCTGCGTGTTCGCAAACAATGAGTCAAAATGACTCAACGATATTCAAAACTTTTGTGAGGGTAACAAGACACTTGCAAAATTAAGGTGTCTTTTTGAAAATCCGAAATAACTTCAGTGGTGACTTTATGTCTTTTTTCATTTTTTTAAAAATTAAATAATATTATAATATAATTTTCATTTATTTATTACTTGGTGTGTTTTGGTCAATATTTAACAAATAAAAATGAATATAGAAAATATCAAACTAGTTAACATGGAAATCAACGTGAGCTAGTTTGATCTCACTTTCTTTGACAAATATGTTATCACTTTGCACACTTCTCTAGTTTGATCTCGTTATATATTATTTTTGAAATTTTTTTGAGTAATTTTTTTTTAACAAACAAATTCTTGATCTATTATTGATTTATTTTTTCTTGATCTACTGATTCGATTTTTACACACATTAAAATCACTACTATGGTCTATGAGCATGATCAAGATAAAACTAAAATGCAATACAAAGTGATTGAAACTCCACATCGATATACTTTTGATTTTTCATCACCAAAATAAAAAAATAAACGATACAATTGCATTTGTGTTACTATCTATTTCATTATGTGAAGATCTAACATATTCTGCACTTTGCTCTAGTAAGTTAGAGAATTTCTGGTTGTTCTATAATATATAGTTAATGGATGTTAGATTAAGTTTAGCACTTTGCTCTAGTAAGTTAGAGAATTTCTGGTTGTTCTATAATATATAGTTAATGGATGTTAGATTAACAAAATAAGTGTAGATTAAAATTTCAAATTATGTTATTCAAGAAGAAACTCTTTAAAAATAATTTATCTTAAATTGCTATTAAGTTCGAGTATTTTTCATATTCGAGTATATCAAGTATAATGAACATAATAAACGTAATTATGTCTTTGTAAGTTGAATTATGTTTCTTCTACACATCTTTTTAAAATCTGAAATAGAAAAAAATAATGAATAAATATTTTTCATGAATTCGTTGATGAAACTTTTAAATTACTTCGACCTTGAATGCCGGTGATTCGCGTCAATGGTATTGAAGAAACAAGAATAATGATGAAACAAGAACGATGAACTATTCCTATTTTCGATAAGTCAAGACAGATTTGGACGAACTTGGTAAAATACATTTGGAGTTTAATTACCTTATACTACTATATTTATATATAGTCGGCTATAAATATGGTATTTGATCAAACATATTTTAAGTGCTCTTGGATATGGAGTCGACTTTGTTATGAAGCGTTTTACCTTTATTATGAACTTTTCAATGCGAACTCAAATTTAGTCTATGTCAAAAAACATGTTGAAATTTCACCCAAATTTAATTGTCCAAAAATATTTAAGAATCTATCGCGATTCCACTATTGTGAAAATTAACGTTCGAGTACAACTCACAATATTTGAAAGTACTTCAAGTTATGAATAACATTAAGGGACAAATAGTAGCAACATTGGGGTGGTGGCGCAGTTGGCTAGCGCGTAGGTCTCATAGCTTAACGAGTAATCCTGAGGTCGAGAGTTCGAGCCTCTCTCACCCCATTACTCTTTTTTTTTGATACGTACATCCGGGTCGGGCTTACCACACCAACCGGAAACCCGACCCGAATAATTGACCTGGATCCTTTTTTTGTTAGTATTATTATTTCCGCAGCCACCTCCAAAACCCTAAAACCCTTCCTTCCCTGTTAAATCTCTGAAAGAGCAGAGAGAGACAGCCTACCAGCAAAGCAAAAATGGTGAAGAAAAGCAAAAGTAAGTAACTGAATTGAAGTTTTGATTCAGTTTTCCTTTGAGTTTTGGTTAATAATATGCAGATGTTTTGCAGAGAGTAAGAGTAAGAGGGTGTCTTTGAAGCAGAAACATAAGATTATAAGGAAAGTGAAGGAGCACCATAAGAAGAAGGCCAAAGAGGCAAAAAAGCTTGGACTTAATAAGAAACCTAAGGTAGAGAAAGATCCAGGAATTCCTAATGACTGGCCTTTTAAGGAGCAGGAACTCAAGGCTCTTGAGGCTCGTCGTGCTCGTGCTCTCGATGAGTTGGAGCAGAAGAAAGCTGCCCGTAAAGAGAGGGTAATCACTTGTTCCCATGCTATCTATGCTTTGCCAGATTTATTTGAACTTTATACTGTTACTAGTATGAGCACATGTAATTTTGCTTTCTGTAAAATTATGAAATCAAAGATAGTAATAACTTATCCGCACTGATGTTTACATCAAATTAATAGATAAGCTAGAAACACTTGTTTAATTCAATCTGGAAACGTTAACAGTTGAAGAGAAATGTAGGTGTGCATGTGTAATTAGATATTAAGAAGCAAATCTACGGTATTTCGCAAAGCCGCAAAAGGAGAAGTAGGGGGATTCTAACATCAAAACACATATCAAAGTATAATGATATTACATTAATTATAACAGTATTCTATTAGAAAAAAAAGAAGTTCACTTGAAAAAGAAAAGGAAAGAGGCTATTAAATTTCTTCTGAACAGTTATTGCGTATGAACTTATTTTAGCTGCTAACTGTGAAACAACTTATGCCAAACCAAGGAAACCTTGGTAGCAGAGATTTAAGAGTAATCTTGGTTGTCCCAAAGATGATCTTTAATTGGTTTATTACTCATGTCTCCCAAAGTTAACAAATTTTTTTGCCAAACCATCTATGGAAAGATGCTGTATCAATGTCTCCATTGTGCGGCGCTATGAAAGAGAAAAAGAATTCTGCCTCGCTAGCCTTTTCACCTCTTCTCTTCCGTCGGTCTTGTACTGAGCCATCAGAATAGGGATGGTGCCAAGAAAGGCAGTTTAATCTATATCTGTAGAACGAACAAAGCAAAGATATTCAAATAAAGAATTTGTGAGGGAATGACTATTCATATATTGAATTTTCATCCAGGCAAGAAAAAGTCTATGGAAAGATGCTGTATATGTCGCAGCCTTCTTAAACAAAATGAACGAAGGCCCAAGGGCTTTTATCCATCAGACATGAATGAAAGGGGATGACACCACTCTAATGATTGGAAAAATCCTAGAAAAGCCACTTCCATCCTTTGGCCCAAAAAGTACACTATTCTATAAAATCCAATAAAAAGTCTTCTAAGAGAATAGGTAAAATATCCATGTATAGCCTCTGGTTCTTCACTATTTTTCGTCATATCTGGTGATCTACTGTATCATACTCTATGTCCTGTTCCTCTAATTTCAGTCACCAAGAACCTTATGCGTACTGTGCAAAAAAGAATCATGCATAAGATCAGTTATACCATATACTGTGTTCGAATTCAATTAAGACAATTCTATTGTTAGATTAAGTACCTGTGGTGGATCATATCCAACATACTCATTATACTTAATAGGGATATCCTTGTGCTCTGATGGAATCTACTTGCTACAAGGTACTTTAATGTCATCTGGTCTTGCTGGGATTATCGAGATCGAGAAACAGGATCTTAGCTTTCTTTTGTCATAAACCTAGAGAAGCCATAATGCCATAGAACCAATCCAAGAGAAGATCATAGGGGATTTGTATTTTCTCAATGCCATCTACGGAGGTTCCAATTCTTCAATCACTGACAGTCAAAATTCAATCTGAAAAATTTCTTAAATCATCCTAATATGTGCCTAACTGATTTCTTTGCAATTTCATATTCCTCGTTAGCTGTTAGATTTCACAATGGACCCATAAATTGAAAGAATTTGGAGCAGCATTAACAATATCTTGCCTAGTTCCTTTTCTAAAATCCAATACGCTCTACGTGGAACCAATAATAACTTTTCCCACTTCATTAGCTTTATCGTACTCCCTTTCTGAACACAATAAAGCAATACATGAATCATAAGAACTAAAGTCGAGCAGTTGGGTTATTTGAGTGTCGTTGGTTATTGTGGTAGTTTGATGCCTCCTATGTTGTCCAACTCTTGCACGATTTGGAGTCTATATCTGTACAACACACCCTCTTCTGATAGGGAATAACATGGACCACTTCATTGAGAATATTAACTGCCTCTTGGATGCTTCCTCACTCACACAATAAAGAAAGAGAACTTATAATAGATTTTGTTTCAATCTTGTTTTCAACTCTGCCAAGAAAATCAATAACAGGTTTTGATTGAAACATCTCCCTCAAAATTTATCGAGATTCTTCCATCCTTCCTTTATCACATGAGCCTCTCACCAAGTACATGAAAACCAAAAAATCAGGTTGCGTACCTTTCATTTTGAACTCAGAAAAGAACCCAAGAGCACCTTCCTATGTCTCCGTTCTTACAATAGCTGTTAAGTACTCCACCGACAGTGAATTCATCTGGTGTTAGTCCTTTAGCTTGTTATCATAGTGAAGCTTCAATACTTCATGTAGTTGACCTAAGTTGCTACATCCATCAATGAATGAAATGTATATGTGAGTATTCAATCTAAAGATTCTTTAGGGACATTTCCTCAAACAACTTCCTTGCATCTTCTAAAAGATCTTTTGATAAAGTGTCAATGGGTATTACCATGTGATTTCTGAAGGAATTATATAATAAACAGTAAATTCATAAACAACCATTCAAGAACTGCTGATTAAGGTTATTTTTAATTTTTCCTTTACAAAAGGTCTCTTTCACTCGCATCCATTTTTCTAGAGATTTACGTGATAGCAAAATTGAAAACTTCATGGACCTATGATATGGAATTCATGCTTATTATCAAGCTGATCAAATTCCAAAATTTTTGGAGCATTGTCCTAAAACTTTCAAATGGCTTATTAATTGCGCTGCCACTTGGTTTAATGTGGTGCTTCTTCCTCTCCTAATAAATATATAGATTTAGAGGTATTTAAAGGCTCTGTATTGGCTTGATTTTATGAATAATGGGGGCGCTTTTGCTACCTTACAATGTTTGATTGCTGTCTACTTGTGCTGGAATTTTCAATGGAATTTATGGAAATGATATTGTGGTTCTCTGTGTCGCTGATATTCACTGTCATCTGTTGATTTTGATATGAAAATATCTTGGTTTTTATATTTTTCTACTTGATACAAAGAAATAGAAAGGAGCTTGGACTTGTTTAGGAATTTCAATGAATTTGAGATAAATCATAAACATTTAATGATGGGAATTATCTGAATTCCTGGGTCTATGAAATAAAAAAGAATGTGTCTCACTGATTTTCAGGTAAGATTTACTACTTTTTTGTGTGCTCGGGGAGGGTTATATAGATAAAAATAAAACATTAACCGAGTGGAATCAATGACTTAAGCATTTCTATTAAGGGCCTTTACAAAGGTATAGGTGGCTACTGAGCCTGGGCCATCTCAGCCTTGAAGTTGGAAGACCAACTCATATGTTAATGGTGGAAAAAACTGTGTTTGATATAGGTTTCTTGCTATTGGGTTTCCGGTTTCCTAAGTTTCCTCCTGGTGACATTTTCTGTCCACATACTCCCACTGATATTGTTTTCCAGGCTAAGAAGAGAAAGCTTGGACTACTTGAGGATGATGATGTGTCCAAACTGGAAGATCTGACTTCAACGAAAGAAAAAGTTGGAGGAGGAAGGGTAAATGATGGCTCAGCTTCTTTTGTTAAACAACGAGGTAAGTGGAATTTTTTTTCTTTATGTTCATTATTTGTAGTTGGCAAAGGAAGTGGGAGTGAAATTAGAGGGCTTACTCCTTTTTTCTTTCTTTGATCTTGATGCTTGATTTTATGATGTAGATAACTCTGAAAGGGCTTTCTACAAGGAGTTGGTCAAAGTAATTGATGCTTCGGATGTAATTCTGGAAGTGCTTGATGCTCGAGATCCTCTTGGTACCCGCTGTCTTGACATGGAAAAGATGGTGATGAGAGCAGGACCTGAGAAACATCTTGTGTTACTCCTCAATAAAATTGGTATTTTTTTTGTTCTATTATTGTTAGCATTATCCTGCATCTGCTTGGGTTTTCTTTTCTTTTACAATACTTATCGAAGATAGCTACAGTGATATACCCCATGTCTTATACTATGTCATTCAGAAAGTAAAAGGCTGTTGGTTGGAGTTTAATCATAGAAGCACAAAGAAGTGGATATTGGTTATGATGTGTGAAATATATATATGTAAAATAATTTCCATATCTAAATATAATATGTATGTGTACGTGTCTCAGCTTTTCAGCCTTTTGATATAGGTCACTAACCTATATTCTGGTCTGTTTATTTTTGTTCTAGAAATGTTGCATCAGATTCCTAGATTGTTGATGGTTCATACAATGTTCTGTAGAGAAACTTTGAAGGGTTACTTTTTCATTGTTACTTGGATTAGATCTTTTACTTCTCAACTATTTTCTCCAGATCTCATTCCTCGGGAAGCTGCAGAAAAGTGGCTAAAGTATCTAAGAGAGGAATTACCAACGGTTGCTTTCAAGTGTAGCACCCAAGAACAGAAGTCAAACCTGGGTTGGAAGCCTTCCTCAAAGGCTGGTAAGAGTAAGACTAGCAATCTTCTGCAGACCAGTGATTGCCTTGGAGCCGAGACACTGATAAAATTGCTGAAGAATTACTCACGAAGCCATGAGGTACTTCCAGGATCATCTTTATGGGGTTCTCTCTCTAGTTTGTGTTGCAGTTGAGTTTTGGAATATGCATTGGAACTTCAACTTGTATACTTTTTGCACAAAGTGCTAGTAACCAATGGGTTTAATTGTTTTCTTTCTCATTCAGATAATTTGAATTTCAAATGAATGCTTTTGGGACATCAAAATTCTAATGGATAAAGCCAGGTGGAATTTAAAATCTACAGTAGCTTGACATTATAATCCCCATTTCTCAAATCCTCTCTTACACTTTGGACATTTCAAGTCTCTTATCTCTGTCAGTTGTGGGTGTGTTGGGTGTCTCTGAATGTGTTATTAAGAGAACTTTGCTTCTAAGAATCAAGATGAACTAGGAGACATTAAACTTCGTCATCAACATCGAGAAGTTGTTTGAGCTTCTCTGGCAAAGTTACTTGCACTTTACATGCTCTTTCAAACCTTGAACTTATCGTTTGATAAAAAAAACTTGAACTCATCATATGTGCAGCTTGTTTAGCTGCATTTAGGTGGGTGCACCTGGAAATGGCTATCTTGTCACATGTAAATGCCCAATTATACTTAACCACTATCGACATGGGTGCGTTCTATGGTAAAATTCTTGTGCGTTTAGATGCATAAGATGAAAGGTTTTGGAGGAATAAAATAAGAAGAAATTTAAAGTACTTCATAGACCTTTCTTTGTTTAGTTTAGTCAATCATGTTATTTCATTTTGCAGTATGCTCGAGTTATTCTTTGTTACCCACTAATGATAATTTCTTGCAGATCAAGAAATCAATCACTGTAGGAGTCATTGGTCTACCAAATGTTGGTAAAAGTAGCCTGATTAATAGCTTGAAGAGATCTCACGTAGTCAATGTAGGTGCTACTCCAGGATTAACGAGATCCCTGCAAGAAGTCCAGTTAGATAAGAATGTTAAATTGCTGGACTGCCCTGGGGTTGTGATGCTTAGGTCTGCATCTGAAGATGATGCATCTATTGCTCTTCGAAATTGCAAGAGGATAGAGAAGTTGGACGACCCAATTGGTCCTGGTAATTGGATTTTGTTTCCCATTTTTGCTTCTGATTCTACTCTTTCAATAGTATTGATGTATCTAATTGCTAGTTCTGTGGGTTTACAGTGAAGGAGATTCTCAAACTTTGTCCAGAAAGAATGTTGGTTACCATATACAAGGTTCCTACCTTTGATTCCGTGGATGATTTTCTTCAGAAAGTTGCTATGGTTAGGGGTAAGCTCAAAAAGGGAGGAATTGTTGATGTTGATGCTGCTGCAAGGATCGTTCTGCACGACTGGAATGAGGGTATGTGTGAATACCATTTAGTTCCCTTCTAAAGATTTAAACTTCAAAAATGTGAGGGAGTTTCACGCTCATAGCTGAAGTCACCATATTATTAAGATCTGATGTCCCATTGACACATTCCAGGGAAAATTCCATACTACACCTTGCCCCCAACCAGGAACGAGGGGGAGCATTCAGAGGTCAAGATAGTTTCAGAACTTGGGAAAGAATTCAATATCGATGAAGTTTATGGAAGTGAGTCCTCTATAATTGGAAGTCTGAAATCTGTCAACGATTTTAACCCAGTTGAAGTTCCATCAAATCGGCCTGTTAGCTTTGATGATAACATGCTCGAGGTAAGTGATTTCCCTGTTATACTTCTAGGAACACTACTTGTATTTAATTACTGTTGTATTCTGTAATTGCTGTACCTTTGACCATTTCTGAACTTCATATGTTATCAGTTTTAGATGATTGCATCTAGTTTTGTATTTAAAGGCTGCATTGGCTATTAAGTCATCTTTGAATGCTCTTTGAACCCAATTATCATACGTGGCCATTTTTTTGTTTTGCGTTCTCCATTTATGAGCATGATTCTCACAACTATAGTCATACGTGGCCATTTTTTTTTTGCGTTCTCCATTTATGAGCATGATTCTCACAACTATAGTCTTTTTCAAAAGAGAGTCTTGAATTATGTTTCCTATTTACATTTCAGGACAATTTGCAGCAGCCACTGGCTGAAAATGATAATGCCACAGAAAACCTTGTTAGTGAGAATGGAGATGAGCCAATGGATTCCGGAGAAGGAGATGGAGCCCAGACGAGGGGCAAAAGTGCTAGTAGTAGACAGAATGAGAAGTTATACGGTGAGGAAGGCATGTTGAACACTAAACAGAAGAAAGCTGAGAAGAAAAGGAGGAAGAAAGACAAGCCCTCAACTGCCAGTGATATGGACGGCGATTATGACTTTAAGGTAGATTATATCAAGAAGGATTCTGCTATGGATGATGCCAATGAAGTTGTAGCAACTGATGAAAGTAAGAACAACAGATTTGAGCTGCCATCTGGGGTTGAGTTGGATAATGAATGACGATAAACTCCCAGCTAGGAACTATGCTTGAAATTAGTTTTTGTGGTTGCTGAATTTTTGTTTGCCTTGTAAAATATATTTGATACCAGAAATCTTTTCTGTTGTACTAAATTGAGGCGATTATATATCACGATAAACATTTTTGTCCATTGCATCTTGTCTCTTTCCCCAGTTTAGTTTGTGTCATAATCTACAGACAAAATATGTAAAACGAGTCCACAGACATGTTATTTGCACGACTAATTTGTAAGTCACAAATTTAGTCTCTCTGTTCTGCAGATTAGAGAATTTCTTGATGTGGTGATAGCTCTGTCATCTATATACAATTTTTTGCACCATCGACACGACTTACAACATTGTACTAGAATTTATTACGTTTTATCAACTATGTATGTAAAGTGAAAAGGTACAATATTTATGGTGAAATGATATTCACAGAGAAAGTTCTGTTCCTCTTCCACAAGTATCATACTGTTCCATTGAACAAATCTAAACTAGGTATAACAAGATTTCATCACAAGGATGAATGTAATACAACTACAGTATCAGTCTCCATTTGATATCCCTAACTCAGAGTCCTTGGCAGGCTGGGAATTTATGTTTGTTCGTGGACTAGCTATGTTCCCAGAAGCTGAGGCTGCAGTTGCTGTCGATGAATCTGCTTCAAACGAGTTGGAAATAAGTCCTTGTGTTTCCATCGTTTCACGTGCTGCTTTCTCTTTGGCTTGTTTGGCTCTTTCAAGAACCTCCTCCTGTTTTTGCACAAACCATTGAGGTTACACATTTCTCGCAAAGTAGTCTATAATCTTTATTACTAAGGATTTTAAACAACTCTGGACATCCAGGAATCATAAACAAGAATTTCATCGTTACGATGCTTAGCCTGTGAATAACATAGTAAAGATACACAGGCTGATTGTGTGTATACCAAGAGGAAACATTATGCAAAATTTTAGCTTTTTCTAATTTTACAGGTTTTCTTGTAGTTGTTGGTAAATGCCAATCCGAAACTATTAAATATCATTGAATGAGGGCCTCCCAAAGGAAAATAAAACAAATTGCTCAGACCATTCATATTAATTAATGTAACTTATAGCATTTAGTTTTGCAACTTCAACTACTTAATACCTGAAAGTCCTGAACTTGCTTTTGTTGCTCTGCTTGCAATCTGCCAACTGTACTTAGGAACTCCCCTACTGTAGACTCTATGCGCTCAGTAACTGCTTCTGCCAGAGCTTTACCTAAAAAGAACGCATCAAGGATATTCTTACTCTCATTTTCACCTGCAAGAGAGATGATTTTAGTTATTGGAAGATATGCAGGAATCTAGCAAGACTGAAGAAACAACAAATTAGTGGCTAATCTCATATTATAAAGGAAACTCGATGACACCCTCCGTGCACCCAACCAAACCAAAGCAAGAGGAAAAAGAAAGTCTAGACAAGCCAAAAAGAAATGGGAAGAACTAATGGAAGGTGTATTCTCGGTTTCAAGTTACAAAGCAAGTCTCTTTGAACCGCTACTACAAATCATAAACAAATTGCAGGCTCTTCAAATGGAGCAGAGAGAGAATTTATTCCAAATGAAGGGAGATGTCCCAAGTCAGAAGGACTGTACAATAGGCAAGAACTCCCAAGGCAGAAGATGACTTTGCAGTCAGCAGAAGTTTGCATTCTGGACACAAAAATGATAGAACTACTCTATTAATTCTAATTGATCAGTATGTAGAACTTGTATATCAAGGAGGACACTGCCCTCAAGTTGCTTCTCTTTTTCTGTTGAGCATCTTGATGATTCGTTGTACTTGGTTATTTCGTGTGGTCACAATTAGATCTCCTAGCTGTAGAGTCACAGTCATAGCTTCTAAGTTTTAATTATCCATATCACTCTGGCCAACCACATGACTACCAAACTGGAACTACTTTAACACAAGGTAAGGCATATTTAATAATACAAACCAAAGGCTTCGACTATTATCCAACATCCGTAGCTTAAGTATACCGTATGACTAGGCAGGATATACTGTACCTCCTTCATATCACCTTTGCTAAACAATATTTTTTAGCTTACAAGCAGCACACCACCATACCATAATGGTACCAAGGACAACAAATAGAGACAAATATGAGAAATGGGTGATATTCCCTACTGAATAACAAAAAATTAAAATGAAATAGCAGTGGAGAAATGGCAAACCAATCCAAGTTAGCCAATACAGCTTTTAAACAAACAGAACTGAAACAAGAATTCTTTGCCCCTCCTTTTGTACCAAGAAGCAAGTCCAAAACACAAGTGTAATGGATTCGTCTATTATAAATTACTCCTCTGACTTATATTATACGACACCCTTTCCTGTTTAATCTATCTAAAAAGAATGGCATCTTTTTCTTTTTTGAATTTGTTTAAATTAACATACCCAGTTTAAACTTAATGACACGACTTGTGGACCCACTTGATAAAATTCATTCTTTTACAATGAGAGAGAAAAAGAAAGACATGTGAAATCCTCACCGAGCACTCATGTAATAGGATAATTAGGGTACTTAGGATATGGCTTACATGTCAAACATCTTCTTCAATTTATTAAACTCCGTATCCGGTCAAACACCTACATATAACACAGGGGAGGGAATATTAGTTATGGAGATATCTCAGACATCTTGAATAAGGTGATGGGACACGTTTAATAGTTAGAGCTCTATCTCTAGGAAGGAAGACACTATTGGGAAGCTCACTCTAGGTAGGGCTCAAAGCAGAAGGTCGAACCTATCATTTCGCAAGAATCATAAAGTTAAAACTAATCAATATGGACATGTGAAGATTTTTTTTCCCCTTAATTCTCCGGGATCAATAGTAATTCTAGTTTTAGACAAGTTTCCTTTGAAGTAGATATGACTACCAAGTATATCTGGTATCTTACTCCTTGCGACTCAAGGCCCCAACCGACCAGTTAGACAATTTGCAAAAGGGAGAAACCATAACTTATCATCATGGATACTAAAAGCAAGCGATTGGATTCAAGATCTTCAGTCAGTACGTTTTCAGTCACTGATGCCACATCAACAACAAGTTAAGTCGGTAAATGTGCAATACCACAACACAGCAGCAGACCTACATTATGACTACAGAGTGCACGTTCACCCATAATCGGTGGCTCAAGAACAGAAATGTGGGTAGGAAACTATAAGAAAGGTCATACTGGAAAAGGAGGTCCATCCTCAAAATGCACTCATGGGTGCCCCTGGCAAGAAGCTGCTCCTTTGTTCTTTAATTGCACATCAATCACAAGTTAAATTCATGTCTTGCACATAGAAGCTCTTTCTTTCTTTTCCTTTTGTCACTTCGATTTGGCACTCGAACTCTAATACGAAAGACTGCTCATGGCAAGTGTGAAAGTGAGAATTAATACACAAGTGATTCCCAGTAGAGGAAGTTTCAAGTACCTTGGGTCAATAATCCAAGAAAACATGGAGATTGATGATGATGTTGGCCATCATATTAGAGCGGGGTGGATGAAATGAAGGCTCACATCTGGTGTGTTGTGTGATAAGAATGTCCCAACAAGACTTAGAAGGTAAGTTTTATAAAGTGTTTATGAGACAAACTATGTTATAAAGGGCGGATTGTTGGCCAGTCAAAAACTCGCAAATTCGAAATGAGAATGTTGAGATGGATGTGTGAGCATACTAGGAGAGATAAGATTAAGAATAAAGATATTCGAGACAAGGTGGAGGTGACTTTTGTGGTGGACAGGATAAGGGAGGTAAAAACTGAGATGGTTCCGGCATATGAAGAGGAGATGCACCAATGAGAAGGTGTGAAAGGTTGGCTATGGTGGGTATGAGAAGATGTTGAGGTAGGCCAAAGAAATACTGGGTCGGGGAGCTTAGACATGACATGGCTCACTTGACCCAAGATAGGAGGATACGAAGGTAGAGTATTATGGTAGAAAGTGAGTAGATAGTCAAACATTGTCTAGTTTTCCTTATTAATAATCTTATTATTCCTCTCCTACATTCTAATCATTATGCGTCAATTACCTTATATTTGTTCATTTTGTTGTTTCTATTATTCTCTTCTCATTTACTTTTAACATGACTTCTTCATTATTCTATTTTCATTCCATACTTGATTTTAATATGCTTTACTTAAGTCAAAGGTTTATCGAAAACAACCTCACTACCTTCACAAAGTTAGGAATAAATCTACATACACACCACACTCCCCAGACTCCACTTATTAAATTACACCGGATATGTTATCGCTGTTATTGTACTTAATTAAACATGATTATTTGTGTTTAGTATACTACATATTAACTTATTTCTTTTGTACACACTTTTTTCCAAGACTAAAACCCTTTCCATCCTTTCATTAACTTCAAACCCTTCCACTACCAGAACAATTACTGGGTGACAGTAATATACACCCCTACTTCCTTGAAAGGCTAAACATAAATACATGTTTAAAAGATTGTTGAAAAAAATAGGACATACCAGGAGGAGGAGGAGGGTTGGAGCTGAAATTACAAGTGAAAGTGAGTGGTGCAACATTTCCACTTCTGTTTGTGGTTGGAAAAGAGGAATTCCATGGGGGAATGATGCAATTACGTTGGAGACGATGAGTAGGAGAAGGAGCAGGAGAATACAGTGAGGAAATTGTGAATACCCCACTCATATTCTCACTTGAATTTCAGATCTGATTGATTCACTGATTATCGATGGGATTTTTTTTTCTTACCTGTGGTGGGCTGCTCTACTCGTATTCTTCAAATTTGTTTTTAACTTTATAGTGTACTAATATTTCTATTCATTCTTTCCACTCTTTTTTTTTTGGTAAGAGGAGTAGGTGGAGATAATTAAAGAAAAAGGGAAAAAATATCTTTAAATTACATGAAATTCAATAAAAATATTTGAGTCATTAATATTTAAGTTCAAAAATGTTTATCTTGTTATTTTTAGGTCAAAAGTGTCATTTTTAGAATACATTATTTTCTTAATAAAATATTATTTCTAAAAAATCTTTTTCCTTTTAAAGCTCTTTTTATCAATTAAAATAGAATTACATTATATACTTTTAAAACTGATACATTATATATATATATATGGTAACAGTATTAATAATTCTTATTTAGATAATAATTTTAAGAATTCT